AGGCATAAAAATGGTCAGTCCTGATAAGCAGTGTATTTGACAAAGATGCCAAATGAGGTTTCTCCCCTCTGTGAACAGAGACTCTCTACATTTTGGACAGGTGAACATTTTACTTGCATCCTTTAATCTGTGCAATGAGCTCCAGTACTTTGGTTTTCCTTTGGGTGGACAGCGGCAGTTCATAGACAAACTCAAAGAAGGTGAAGATGGAGCCAAGTGGTGCAGGATAGGACAAGTTACATACCCAGTACAATTTGAAAAGCTTATCCACAGCACACGTCAGGCCATCATTCAGAGAAATGGTTCCTCTGTCATTCTTAGCAACGATGATGTACTGCCCGGTTGCACTCTTTAGATCACCGATGCATATCAGCTGGGGTTGGTGTGTTGTGGATGATGCTTCAGGATCACTGCAAAGCGATGCAATACTTGTTCCAGGCTTGGAGATGGAAATGGGGAAGATAGATTTTTAGAGAAGTTTTCAGTGAGGTGTAGACAAATGCTTTCCTCAGGTAAATACCGTGAGAACTTTACTGAATACATACCAGTGCAAACTCAACCAAGTGCGTTATAGCTGATTTAAGGTTGCAACGACTGGCACCAACTGGTGGGAGCAGGTGTGTTAACACAAAGCGGGGGGGTTCTTGTTTCCAGGACAGCTACTGATTTGAGAATGATACTGGCGTCCCATTTTCGTAAAAAGAGATCCACCTGTCCTACTGTAAGATTGCCAAACTCCAAGTCCAGCTTATGGAAAGAAAAAAGTGTTTAAGTGTAAAATAAAGCATTAAATACATTAAATCAAAAGTACATTCTGCCCATTTGGTAGCCGTATGTCTAAAATCAAATGTTACAGTATCACATTTCTGTTACTCATTCCACATCAAGCTTACCTGTACAGTGAAACATAACAATTTACTTGGAGTGGTATTTGAATACAAGTCCATTATTCCTTAATTTTAGCTATGATTTGGGTCCCATCAGACCCTGAGAAAAAAATAGGACTTTTTAGCTGATGTTCAACTTTCTAGCAGACAATTTCTTATTTTGTCTGTCTGCGGTTTGTCCTGTAGAGCTTTTTTGCTGAAAATAGCGCTGCTGAAAGCAGAGTTTCATACAGATTTAGGTGATTTTTTGTAGGGTTTTAACTTCTACGAGCAGCACTTTCTGCATTGTCATTTGATGTCCCTACTATTAGATAGTCATTTGGTGGTACGACTAAGATTTTGGACCATGTGAAAAGTGATGCTCATTGTAATCAGTGCCCAGTGAGTAATGATCCAACTCTGAAGTTATAAAACTTTCAAAATATTCACTAGGAGCTCATAAACATACCTCC